CCCATTGGTCTTTCCCTAAAGTAGATATGCTTTTACGAGACCAGTGCTCTAACCCCTGAGCTACGGAGCCACGTTGTAGATGTGCTTTTAGAATGAAGTAGTGTAATTGTACTGAATCACCAAATTATAGTGGTCATTCATAGTCGATGCCCCTAAAATCAACTCCCTCTTTTCTTCCTTTTTTCAATTTTTACAGTAGCTCCTTTAGAGTTTTCTCCAGGTGTAGTACAGGGAAAAACTAATCCTTTTGGATAATCTGTAATGAAGTGATTATCAATGAAAGAGGTCAGCAATACCTTATCCTCAATTCTGATATTCAGAAAGCTCCGATTATCAACGGTTTTTTAATCAAAATCCATTTCATGGCCAGACTCATCTGCATTGAAGAGATGCTACTTATAATATTTATTTATGCCACTTAGTTTAACTATTTATATATGTTTCCTTGCAGAAGTATTAAATGTGTTTGGTTATCAGGCACTAGTCGGGATATTCTAGAATACGTGTGATATGCACTATATTACCTTTATAAAGAAATTGAGAGTTGCTATAATATTCATCAGGACAGTTTCTTCTATTATGAAACCTGATAACATCTTATAATCTTCATGTTTTGATGAAGAAAATCATAGTACTGTATAAGCTATGCACAAGGACAGATTGGGTAGTAAAAAATATTAAGATTATTAAGATTATCTTTAAGAATGTAGTGAGACTTTGGGGAAAGTGTGCCAAGTTTCCCTTCCCTATGTTCCCAAAGCCCAGGTAAAAGCAAAGGAGGCCAAGCCAGGGAAATGAATAAATGACACCACATCCTGGTTGACTGCATAAAACAGTAAAAATATGTTGGATGACCTGTTTGGTAGGTGGCTTGTAATGATACCAGCTTTGCTTGTCCTCTAGAGATAAGTCCTCAGATCTTCAAATCATTATTTTCATGACAGGACTTCATTTATCAAAGGTCACTTCAATTATTTGAAAAGTTATTCTTTGTAATATTTATAGCTAAAAATACTTATGGAATTGAGAAAATGTTAGTGATCATTACCTAATATTAATAACGAACATCAAATATTTTTCAGAAATAATATTTGTGACATTGTGATACTTTTGATTTTATGCAGAAATATTTCCCCGTATCTCTATACTATGCATTGCTGTGTATTAATTGGGCACAAGTACTCATTTGGAAACCAATCTTATAGATTCTTAGTGAACAGTGGTGGCAGAAAATCTGATTCCCTCTCCGCCAAATGAGTTGGGATTGCAGGTAAAGGAATCTAGACACTGGCCTCTACGCCTTAAGCCGTAGCCTTGGGCTGCCTAAGAAATGAAATAACTTGTAGAGCTAAATTCTTCTGAGGGTCAAGGGAGCAACTCTTATTCCATATTCTTTCTTTCTTTTTTTTTTTTTTTAAAGATTTTAATTGGGGAATTGTGGGATGGGAACAGCGCTGGGGAGTTGGGTAAGGGGAACAGACAAGTTGCTGTCCTTTTGTTCTTCAGTCTAGTTGTGGAGGATGTTGCTTCACTGGCCTAAGTTGGCACCATCATTGCACTCTTCCTGGGCGAGGCAGATCAGTCGCCGGCTTCTGGACAGCCACTCACGCTGGCTGCTGGCTGCTCACGCTGGCTGCTGGCCGCTCACGCTGGCTGCTGGCTGCACACGGTAGCCCATGGCAACCCACTGCAGCAGGGGCTGCAGCCTATGCCATCACCGGTGACTCACGGCAGCCCAGCTCCAGGTTGAGCTGTTCAGCATCTTAGCTGTAGAGGGCAGTGTCACTGGCCCTCATATGTGGGATCCGAACCGGGGCCCTCTGGCGTCCCAAGCCAGTTCTTAACCATCGCGCCACTCGGCCGACCTTCCATATTCTTTTGTCTATTAAACTGATTCCACATTAGATAGCCACCTACATAGATGCTTTATGCTAGCCAGAGTACATTGCTGTTGAACTTCACCCCTCTTTCTCACAACTTGTGGATAATGGGGCAAAGCCATGCACTGGATATCCTCTGAAATCCATTTTGCCTCTTAAGTTTCTAAGATGACTTTGAGTTTGGGGTGCCATAATTTTTTCATCTGGTATATCCCAGTTCTGTTGAGGGGAACGGAAGAGCAGAGCAGATCTTAAACTAGCATGTCCGTCAAGGATACCAGTAGAAGCCCGTTCGTGTGGACATGGCCTGCTTCACCTAGTCCTCTTCTTTTCCATTGCTGCCATCACTGCCCTTCCTGTTTGCATTGTTTGCAAACCTTTGGTAAAATAATGATTGGGGGATTACACTTATTGGAAGTGAAGGTAAAACTATTTTCTCTTTATTATAGTCCTTAGATATTGCCAAGGTACTTTATCCGATATGATTTGTTTGATCTTTACAGCAATTCTATAAAAGGCAGCACCTTTTATAGATGAGAAAAGTGAGGTAGCAAAAGGCTTAGTGAAAGTTTTGCAGCTCGTTTCTGTCTCAGCCAGGGCTGAAGCACAGATTTCTAGATTGCTCGCCGAGGGTTCTTTCCAGAATGTCAGTTTCAAAGGCTGATCAAGGCTGAGAATGGTAAATACGGTGGGAATTTGCATGGATGCCAGGGGGTAAATGTTAGATGCAATTCCCTAATTTTGAATAGGTTGTTGTGAGTGGTAAGGTGACTGTCACAGGGATATAGGTGAAACAAATATTTTAAAAAATATTTCAAACGCTAAAAGCAATTTATATTGCTATATGTGAAAATTTATAATTAAATTGGCAAATGGGATATGGAAATGGGAAATACCAATTACAACTTACGTGGAGTATTTCCTGAAGCTTTGAATGAAGTTTTTGTAAATTGGTACCTTAACTAATGTTATATACCATTTTTGTGTGTGTGGAAGAATGCATATCATTGGGTTAATATTACTGCATTTTCCTCTTTGCTGGATATGTTTTAAGAGCTCTCAATTTTCTCATTGTGTCAATGTGTGTTCTGTGGATTGTGTTTCTGTGTGTCTTTCCTTGTAAAGTGACTGAACTCTTTAGGGTTGATGGAAGTGGTAGTGGTGATGGGGACATGGAATTCTTCCTTCCAACTATTCACAGACGTGGTAAGCAGCTGTTCCAAGGCCATTTACAGTTCTGCATTTTATCCTTTCTTTTTAGAGACAACAATATTAAACACCTGCTGTGTGCAAGTCCTTTATATATTTTATCTCATTAACCACCATGGCAACATTATGAAGTATTTTTTGCTCCATGTCATGAAGTATTATTTGTTCCATTATTTGTTTCTAGTCATCCAACTAGAAAGTGATCAAGTCAGAATCAAATCTTTGCCTCCAATGCTCACTCTCCTCTCTGTATGAGCCTACTGCAGTTTTCTGATTCTAATTGTAACAGAAATTTTACATGAATATCATTTACAGAAGTGACTGAAAAACATTTTGGATAGCTTTGAATCCCTAAAAAGAGATAAATAGAATATTTATATTTTCATGTTGGATGTATCACTTTGATTTTCTTTACAAACAGAACCGTACGTCTTTATATGTAGCATTTAATCAAAACAAATGAGAAAAAGAAATTAAGAAGAAAAGAAAAAGAAATGGAGAGAATAAGTTGCCAATTAATGGGAAGGAATATTGAAAAGAGGATGCTTTTTGAAGTAGATTCATGTGCAAACCTGATTCAACTTTTATCTCAAAATTTTTTTTTCGTATTAGGAGAGAATACATAGAATACCTGTTTCTTGAGGGAGAACTCTTTCTAATTCTCAGATGCTCATTTTTCACAATGTCAGGTTTCGTATTTTAGTGTCAAAACTCATGGTCCCACCCCACTCATTCCTAACTTCTATCAATGTCATGTAATCTCTATTTAATTACTGCTTTTGGGATTGTTTTTGTCTGCATCAATTAATACAACATAGGAGTTGAACCTGCTTCTCAGGGAAAAAAAAAATACTTCTTTAGTTATAGGATTAGACTCTTTGGGACCAGGAGAGGAAGATCTATAATATCATAATATGAAGAAATAGGCCTAGAATAAATGCACATTTAGAAACCAAGAATCTGTTCAGTCAGATTGGTGAAAATCATAGGGAAACTACTGTTTCATAAAGGTAAGAGTCAATTGGCTTATGTTCTTCTGAGGTCAGTAAAGGTCGTGGGAGACTTTCTTCATATATCCTGTGTGGAAGAATGTTCTCTTTCATAGAGAAGAAAAAGAAAAACAAGTTTTCCTTATTCATCTGCAAATGCTTATGCAGCACTTGTATATCACATTGGTGCCAAAATAGAGAAAGGTCATAAAAGCATGAATATGTGTGGCAGCCATTTGTATCTGCCTTTCTTTCTAAAACAAATTAGAAGTACTCATGAATGGTACAACTCTTTTCAAAAGGGTGTTCCTTGCCTTTTCCTTGGGTTTGTAAATTACTGATTAACATTTTGTTACTCTTTGTTGGAACTTATTCATGCAGCCAGTCTAGGAGTGGCTTCCCAAATTCTAGTGACAATTGCGGCCTCTGACCATGCTCATGGTGTATTTGAATTTAGCCCTGAGTCACTGGTTGTCAGCGGAACTGAACCAGAAGATGGATACAGCACCGTTATATTAAATGTGAGTACATTTTTCCCATCAGTCCTAGACACTTCCTGTTCTTATAAAATTAAGAAGGTGTGCTTTATGTTAATTTTTTCTATATAGGTGGAGGGGAATGAACCTAATGGCAAAAACAGTACACATTGATTATTGAATACTGATTTGGAATTTGTCTTTGTATTTAATTTTGTGTTCAAATTTATCGTCTGATTCTGAGGATTCCTGACTCTTTAAGGAACGTGATGAAGCTGTTCCACATAGATTTTTGTATTAATGCATATAGGCCGTTGTAACAAATGTCTCCAAAATCTCAATGGTTTAATACAAGAAAGATTTATTTATCATTCATGGTATGCCCTCAACTTAAGTTGGCAATCCCAATCAGTTATGGATCGAGGAGTACAGAGACTGCATCTCTCAACAGGTGCTTCTGTATTCATGGAGGCGGGGAATGTGGATGTGGGGGAACTGTACTGGCTCTCACAGCTTCTTTCCGGAAGTGATTCACAGCATTTCCACTTACATGTCCTTGGACAAAGCAGTCATGTGACCATGCTAATGTTATTCAATAGAGAAGTGCAATCCTGTCTTATCTCTCTCCTAGAAGGAAAGAAAATCCAAAACATTTGTAAACAGTAGTAATAGCTCTGTGTGTGTGTGTGTGTGTGTGTGTGTGTGTGTGTGTGTCTACTGTGCGTTGTTCTGTTGTTGGAAAGTGGGCCCTCTCGGCGCAAAGTCCAGGTCCTTGGCAACTCGAGCAAAGAATTGAATGAGATGCTGGAGTAAAGTAGTGAAAAAGTAGTTTATTCGAAGACATAGTACATTTCAAAGAGTAGAAGTAGGCCCGAGCAGTAGAGAATGGCTCAAGGGCCCATTATTAGAAGAGAAATTACATTCCAAAGAGTTTGGAGCAGGCCATGCGCAAAGGCGAGGCTCAAAAGGCTCAAAAAGGAAGAAGTGGTCAAAAGAGCAGGGAGTCCAAAAAGGGAAAAAAGGGAAAAAGGGTGGACTTTCCAGGACTTGGAGTTTTTATCCCCTTTCTCTAGAATGGGCTGTTCCCCTTTGGGCGTGGGACCATTTGATTGGCACCCGTGATTGACAAGAGGTACTGTGCAGGTGTGAGTGACTGGTCAGATCTAGTTGGGTAGTATTTTGTGCCCATTTGTCTTCCCGCAGGGGTATAATACAAAGGGGAGTTTTGGGTGTAGATGGGATGTCCCCTGGGCTGTCGCACTCTGTGGGACATGCAGGAATACAGAGACCCAATGCCTGCTTCTAACTGCCAGCCTTGTTTTCCCCTTAAGAGACGTGATCCCCATAAAATCTCTAAGGGAAGCTGAGGGACAGGGGGTCTCTTCTGTATCTGCTTCCTGCTGGGAAGGGGTGTAGAGTTGTCCCTACCTATTGGGGGATTCACGGAACTCTCACCCTAGCTGATCTCAGATGAGAGGAAGGGGTCTCGAGCTCCGCTTGGAAGACCGCTTTAGTTGTGACTGGCAATCTTGTTGGGGTATGCTCTGTATCCCCAAAGTCCCTGAATGAGGAAAAATAGATTTTAATTAATAAATCTATTATCTCTCATGAAGCCTGTAGCCATTCAGCCTGTCACTCAGGTGGCATCAATTGTCTGGGCCCAGAATGGGTTTTGCATTTAGTTTACTGGCCTGGGGGATATTAGGAGGTCACAGGCTTTCAAGTAGTTATCTGAAGCAGGGGTAGGAGACTTCTATTGTTTAGGTTTCAGAAACTGATTTACAAAGCAATCAAGAAACGGGGATAGTAGAATGCTAGGATTCAGGCTAGGAGCAATCTTTAGCCTAGGATTCACAGACTGCTGAGAAGAGTAATCACAGCCAGGGGCTAAGAAACTAAGAAACTATGGAAGAGACTTAACGTTTCTATACTTAACATTTCTATAGGAAAGAAAACTTAAAAGTCTTTGGGGGTGGGGGAGCACTCTCTTGGCCGGTAACAGTCCCACTAGGAGGTAAGTCGAATTCTTTTGTTACATTACTCAAAGGAGCTATAAACTTGCTGAGTTTCCTCAGATTACATACAAATAATGAAGAAAGATCCCTCAAAATATATTCCTTCTGTACTCTTATGGCAGATCTTCAGTAAAATGTTGTAGAATAAATTGAACCATTTTAGCAAGGATGACTAATTTCTCAAGAAAGAAAATGTAAAAGGATTACAGGAAAGGATCAAGTTTTTAAAAATTTCTGTCTCAAATTTTACTTTGACCCAATGTTTATATTTTAAGTGTAAAAAAAGTTACCTTTAGCTGGGACTAATTTGGAGCATCTTTTCAAAGGTTTTTATTCTTCTTAACATGTTATTGACAAAAGGCAATTTTTCCTTCTTAGATGTATTTTATATAACCTTGGGTCAAATAGATTTTTTGGTGAGTTTATTTTTCATATTATATTGAGGACAAAAGGAAATATAATTGTTTTTTAAAATGAGTTTTATGGTTAACTTTTCAGGAAAATATTACTTATATATTCCTTACCATGAAGTATATATTATCTTTGCAGTAAAGGTGAAAATTTTCACAAATGTGTGTAAATATAAATCTTTAATTACATTTGCTTTATTACTTACATAGATTTTAATTGCAGAAAAGATACAGCTATAGTTTAGTTACAAACTGTAAGTGAAAATGCTCAATCTCCTGTTTTGCTCAACTTACTTTTTAAGGAGAAGTCTCTGAAGGTCTTCAAAAATGGGTAATACGTGGTCCATGCCTTCTAGAACGTTATATTTTTGTGAGCAGCTTGTATAAAATAAAAATTTAATATCCTCCTATCATTCTGTATGTACAAATGTCTAAGTCAGTGGTTGTAATACATTTTAATTTCAATATTTTGTAGATTATGAGACGTCATGGAGCTCTGTCTCAAGTGGCTTTGCTTTGGAGCATAGACTCTGATCCTGATGGTGATCTTGACTTCACGTCTGGCAACGTCACATTTGAAATTGGGCAAAATAGTGCCAATATCACAGTGGAAATACTGCCGGATGAAAACCCCGAACTGGATAAGACATTCTCTGTGTCAATCCTCAGTGTGTCCAGTGGCTCTTTGGGATTTCATACTAATGCCACATTGATAGTTTTGGCTAGTGATGATCCTTATGGGGTCTTCATCTTTTCTGAGAAAAATAGACCTATTGAAGTTGAGGAAAGAACTCAGAACATCACATTGTCAATAATAAGGTTAAAAGGCCTCATGGGAAAAGTCATAGTCACATATGCAACATTGGATGATATGGAAAAACTGCCTTATTTTCCACCAAATTTAGCCAGAGCAACTCAAGGAAAGGACTATGTACCAGCTTCTGGATTTGCTCTTTTCAGCGCCAATCAGAGTGAGGCAACAATAACTATTTCAATTTTGGATGATGATGAACCGGAAAGGTCAGAGTCTGTGTTTATTGAACTACTCAACTCTACCTTAATAGAGAAAGTACAGAATCGTCCAAGTAAGTAGCCATTGTTGTTGTTGATGTTATTATTATCATTAGAAGAATACTAAAACAATAAATTAAGAA